TTCAACGTGACCTGTCTGACTGCCACCAGCCTTACAGTGGCACCTTGTCCTCATTGGATGATCAGCTCACATGCTCTGCTCTGGATGTAGCCTGTGAGTACTCCAGCCTGAAGCTCACAAAGCTCCAATGTCTTCTCAGGCATCCTCCACATGTTTTCTTTCTGAAACTTGTGCTGCTGAGACAGGCTGTCAATTCAGGCTGGCCATCTACACTGAGCCTGTTTTCAATCTTGCTCTGGTATCCAGTTTTGATCACATAAATCCAGAGGATGAAACTTCCTGTACTCCTGTCCCAAGTGACTCCTCTGTCATCTGGCTCCTTCTTTCAAGAGCAGGCTGTGGGCATGAAAGCTGAAAAGGGGTTAGGGCTTTTAACAAGCTCTTGCCCACAGTAGTTCATCTAGATGTATTTGTACAACAAACCTTTTTTTTTAAGATCTGGAATCTCTCCTTTCTGAAATTACGTTCCTACCTACATGCCTTCAATAAGGCAATTATCTCTTCTCTGGCCACCTACACATGTAGACACTTTTACACAACCATTTCACGTCAGGGGCACCCTAGCCCTGGAACCACAGCCCATGCCAGCTTTCCCGGGCACAGACAGAAAACGTGACATCACCTGCTTTTACCTCATGTCTGTCTTGTGGCCTAGGTCACAGAAAGACTTTAGAGAGAAGCATGAACAGCAGGGATGGGTGTCTAGGAGCACTTAACAAGGGAAAACTGAGACCATTCCTACTCAAGCCCTTTCTCCTTTTAGCTCCAACCCAGGAGACCTGTCCCCAAGGGACTTGCCGTGGAGACTTGAGTTACTACCTGTCAGAGTTGCAGGCTTCACAGACACAGCTGGAACCAAGTACCGGGGTGCCGATTTCTCTTGGACTACAGCTGGATCTAGGGTTCGACTGTGGAAATGGCTTAGCCACATTGGGCCTTTCCTCTACCTCCTGCAGCTTCACAGCCAATGCTGATCCTGGGACCCAATGTCCCTTTCAAGGTAGGGAAGGAAAGGGGATAGGAAGCTCTAATCCAGGTCTTGGTGACCTTGATGCTACGAGTTTAGGAGAGAATGTGGCCTCTTCATGCTCACTCAGGGTCATGCTGAAATCCATGATGCTCCAACCCAGTGAAGTGAGAACGAGCCTGGAGCTTAGGACAAAATCTGCTCTCAGGACCTGGGTTTGCCACTTCCTGGTG